TGTAAGTATATATATTTAAATTTTTATATTATTTAAATAAATATTTATAAAGAAAATTAAGAATTATAATTTTTTTATCTTATATTATATATATTCTTTTAATATTTAGAAAATAAATTTACTTATAATTATATAATAAAAAATATTAATAAAATATTTCCTAAATTTATATATTATATTCAAAAATATTCAAAAAATAAGTTTATAAAATTAATTATAAAAATTTATATATGATTTTTTATAATAAAAATACTAAATATATAGCCAAAAAAAAATAATTTAAATTATATTTTACTTTATTATATATTAATAAAGTATTAAATTTTTATAAAAACTTAATGATATCTTCTTTATAATATAATAATCAAATTTATTTAAAGCTTAATTATATAATAATATATTAAAATTAATTTTTTTAAAAATTTTTGTAATTGATTTTACAAGCTAATTTTTTTAATATAGAATATAAATTTAATAAAAAATTTATTAAGATTTTTTATTTTATGTTAAATAAATTTATTTTCTAAATATTAAAGAATATATGAATTAGTGCAAAAAATTTGTATTTTAATATAATTTAAATTTTAATTAATCTTTATAATTAAATAAAAAATAATCTAAATTAACTTTTTATATTATTTTAATTATTCTATTATATTTTAATTTAATAATAATAAAGCATTATTTTACTAAAAAAAAAACTAAAATAAAATTATTTTTTTTTAAAAAAAATATTTTAAATATATTAAACTATAACTTATAAACTTTATTTTAATAATTAAATTATTTCTTAATAAAATTATAAACTTTAATATAAAGAGAAAATTTCAATTTTTATTATATTTTATTAATAAAATAAATTTATATATCAAAATTAGTTACAATATAATATATATTTTATATAATTATATAATTAAATATTTATTATTTAGTAATAATAAAACTAGTTTTTCTTTTTTATAAACTATAATTATGATAAATTTTTATTATAATAATTTATTATAATATTATAAAATGATAAAAGTAATGCTTAAAAAAAATTTTAGTATTATTACAGAATAAAAAAATTATATTTTTTAATATATAAAAAAATCAAAAAATTATAAAGATTAATTGAATTTTTAAAAGCAATTATTGATTTTTATTTGAAATATATATCTTTTAAATCATATTAACTTTATTACTTAAAAGATAATTATAATTTTGAGAGTTTTATTAAAATATGTGAGATTTTTTCATAAAATTGCTTTCTAATTTTATCATTAACCAGATTCGAGAACTCATTTTTGTATTATTAACTACATCAATTATTTCAAACATGGATTGTGAAGGAAAATCGATTGCTTTAATAAATGATTGAAAACCCAATGAAATATTTTTGCCTTTATTTTATTATTATTGATTTTAATAATTACACACATAAATAAACATACAAAAAAAATGGATCGATTTATTTTCTTTTTTTTTAATTTAACATATACATTATATCAAGATTCTTGTTCGGATGTTTTAAATACATAGGTAAGGCCGCACTATTTATAACGTGCATATAATAATAAAAAGTGAGAAAGATTTGTTGACAGAGAAGTAATAGATTTATTAAATACCTTTCCACAATATTGACGATCATAATGTTGTGCCATAAAGATTCCAGCTCCACATGAGGTATTTGGGCATTCTCTGAATAAGTTTAAATGTAAATATAATAAATGCCGCAAAAATTTAATTTTAGAATTTGAATTCATAAATTACAGCATAAAATTTTAAACCTACTTTCGAAGTCGAGTCATTTTACCGTTCTCGTCGACCTTATAATATTTCAATACAGACAATTTAACCTTCTTTCTCTTATGCTTAATCTTTTTCGGAGTGGTGTATGTCTTCTTCTTGCGTTTTTTGCCACCACCACGTAAACGAAGCACCAAATGCAAGGTTGACTCCTTTTGTATGTTGTAATCGGCAAGCGTACGACCATCTTCAAGCTTTTATTATCATCATATTATCATTATTAATTATTATTAAAGCAATGTGACTCATTTTTATTTTTAGCTAATAAATAGTGTTAATCTTTAAAATTACTTGTTTTCCGGCAAAAATTAATCTTTGCTGATCCGGAGGAATCCCTAAATTAAAGAATATTATTTTTTTATCAAGCGGATTAAATAACATTAAATAACCAAATGCACAAAGTCTCATACCTTCTTTATCTTGAATCTTAGTCTTTACATTATCAATTGTATCGGAAGATTCCACCTCAAGGGTGATTGTCTTTCCAGTTAGAGTTTTTACAAAGATCTGCATTCTTTTTTTTTTCGAAAAAATTACTCAATTGTTAGGATATTTGTATTCAAATGCTTTGCCAGTAGGATACATAATAAATTATTTGCATTGCTTTATTTAATCAACGGAAATATTAATTTCATCAAAGCTAGCCTCTTTTTTTTAATTTACAAGGAAAAGAGTGCAAAAAGCTTAAACCCCATCGCAAAATTCAAACAAGTGAAATCCCAAATAAATAAGCATTTACTTTACCTGACGGCAGATATTATGCAATTTTATATAAAGAACTCTAAATTTTATTTTGTAGACAAAAAATTTTTCGAACTAATAGATTTTCCACAAAACACGTGAATAGCTGAAATGATTGAAATCCAACAGTTGATAATGTATACATTAAAATTCTATGTTGAAAAAACATTTAATACACCAGCATAATTAACTATATGGATTCGCTAAACGATTAACATATATGGCTTTTTGCCATTTAAATTCGGTTGCTAGACTTCACATTTTAACAATAAATATTCTCAATTAATCTGACTTCACATTTTAACAATAAATATTCTCAATTAATCTCAAATCTCTATATCATCTTGCATTAAATTTCCAGCTAATGTTACTTTCTCTCCTGGTTTAAAGGCAGGCATACCAAGATAAGGACATGTTGAGCAACGGAAAGCATCACCAAGGCTACACTAAGAGTATAAACAATATCGGATCAAATTAATATTGAATTACGAAAAACAATGAATAGATTACACTAATTGACTTACATTTCCGCAGGACGAAATAGGAGGATTCTTCAATTTCGTTTCTACTTCCAATTGCTCTGCTAGACCACAGCTACAATTCTTGCAAGCTTTTCGCTTTCCATTTGTCTCACAATCAGGTCCTTGTCGGAGGGAGGGGAGAGAGATAGCAAAAAAATATATATAAGATGATGAAAAATCAATCAATCAATCAATCAATCAATAATATTACTAATTTTACGCTTACTAATTAATGAACTTTTGTCTGGTTTTACCAGATCTTGTTCGTCGAGTAATATATCTTCATTTTCGAGTTCACCGAACTCGTCCTCTCCATCATCAACAGAAAGAGTCCAAATTGCGGCCTTATTGTTATTATCGCTCTTTACTTTTTTATTTTAATTAATCCATTGGAAAATCAATACAGAATATCGCAAAGATTTTTATTTTTTAATAGTAACACGAGGAATGTTTCTCTTACCTCCATTGAGAACTTTTCTAGGTAAAGCAAACGAAGTTCCAACATCATAATCAGGTTTCTTTGCATCAATTGCCACAATGTGTAATTGTCCATATAGTGAGTCAATCAACTGATTTCGCGTATCACCGGTAAATCCCCAAACATATTCAACAATATATGAAAGTTCTTCTCGTTCCACTTTAGCCGCCCTTTTCACATTAAAATCTACGAATCCGGCTAATTTCAATTCAATAATAAGAGTTTGGGTAGTTCTCGTGACAGGAATCTCTATTCCATCTGCGGAGGAACGTGGCGAAAGAAGAATAGGCTCTTTGAGATGCAAGATGCCTCCTGGTATAAGAGTAGATGCTAGTTGTGTTAATTGTTTCGGTGTGTGTTGAAATGCTATAGGTGAGAAATTGTTTGCGTGAACTGCATTGTAAGTGGACTTTGGAAGTGTCTCTTGAAGAATCAGAATTTATTGTGTAGAATTAGTAAAAATTAAAAGGTCATGCGTCGTTAATCTTTTTTTCTCTTTACCATGATTCAACTGTTCCAAAGTTTTTGTGTCAACGGTACCAGTTTCAGTAACCTGATCTAGATATTCTATTCTGGTCTTTTCGATTTGCTCTGGTTTTGTATTTGAAGAACCAATTAAAAGGATTTTATTACCAGGTTCGTATTTATCGGAAGGCATGTTGTATTGAAAAAATATCAGTCAGGAAAGATTCGTTTTATCGAAAGATTTATTATTAATCAGATTTGTTCTCATATAGATTGTTGATCATCCCATTCTGTGCTACTTCAGAAAAATAAACCAATTTTCCCTGGTTATAATGCTTAGAGATGCAGACTGAACCACCACCACCACCAGCAGCAGAGACTTTTAATTTATCTACAGAGCTCGCTACAGATCGATTGACACAACTTCAAGGGAGAGTAGATTATGTAATTATCTTTTTTCTGCTCTAAATTCTTATGCTTGTTATATTGGTGCATGTAAAAAACCACATTGAGAAGGCCATTTTTGTTAACCAAGGCAAAAATCAATATTGGGAATTATGGTTTTTTTTCGCAATTCATTTATATACCTATTTCCTTCCTTTGCATTTTTTCTTTGAATGCCTGCATTATTATAGCTATGCTATACCTTCTACGAGTGTCTGCGCGAACTGAATAGTTGTAAGTTTAACTAAATTTTGAATAAATGCTATTTGTGAGTTAAATAAGAATTAAAACTTTTTTCCTAACACCATAAAATTATTAATCTTATTTATTATAGCGGATTCACAGGATTCAGAACAGTTACCAAGTATACTTCTTTGTTTAATCTGTCTTTTGATGACGTTATCAAAATGTAGTTATTTATTTATCGTTGTGAATAATAGTAAAAAGAAATGAGTACGTTTCACGAATCACTTTAACCTTAAAGCAAATAGAAGTGTTTGTGAGTGAGTTACCTGGAGTGAATCAGACGGAGAGTCAACAGGTAAAGTTGTTGATTTTTCGGTTCTCCTATACTTTTGACTGCTAATATCTAAAAATCTTTAAATAATAATTAAAAAGCTTGAAGCGTTAGCTGACCTCGAAAAAGAGATGCAAAAAGCAAACAAAGAATATTTGGAGGCAATCGAAGAAGCAGGTATACAACCTTTAAATGTTTGTTATTATTAATTCATCGATCATCGATTTTATTTAATAATATACACTTTAAAATAAAGAAAACTTGATGAAACAGGTGAAGCAGGCTATTCAAGCCATATTCGCAGATCAAGTTACTCACGCCTCCACTACCACAACTGATGATGGTGGTGGTGATGATGATGATGATGATAATAATAATAATAATAATAATAATAATAATAATAATAATAATAATAATGATGATGATGATGATGATGATGATAATGATAATGATAATAATGGTGATGATAATAGTAATAATAATAATAGTAGTAATAATAATAATAACAACGACAACAACGACAACAACGACAACAAGAACAACGACAACAAGAACAACAACAACAACAACAATAATAATAATGACGATGATGCTGGTGGTGGTGGTGGCGGTGATGGCGGTGGTGGCGGCGGTGGTGGTGGTGATGGTGATAATAATAAGAATGATAATGATAATAACAGCAAAAACGCTACTACTATCGATAATTCTTTCTTAAAAGATGAATCAATGCATGAATGAAACAGATTCTTCCTGGACTCGTATATTTTAATGTTAAAGATATTTGCTTTTCTTAAGAACAAGAAACTTTTAAACTGTGTAAATATGTAAGATTTAATTCATAGTTCATGGATGTACTGAAAATTAATCTCGTATAATATCAATATACAATTAGAATATTATTTCCTGCAAAGAGAAGGATCAAAATCACCTTTAGAGTTTATTTCACTTGCTTCTTGTTTAGCAACATGTCAATGATGTTCTTCCTGCATGCAGTTGAAGGTATTACAGGATTCAAGCCTATCGCTATCCAGACAAAAAAGGCTGCATTCCGAAAGAGATGTCATCTTTCCAGATATCAAAAAAAAACAAATAGACAAACAAGCAAAGTAGACGGTTGTGTTTAAGATATAGGAATTCGAACAATTATTATTTTTTTGTGATAATAATGCTTAAATAGAATAATAATGCTTAAATAGAATAATAAATCCATAGGATTGCATCTTCAAATACGATATCTTTACAATATTAAGGTGGCTCGTGCGATAACTTTATGCTGATATTTTGTTTTTATTATATATAATAATGTTTTTTTTAATCACACATTTTTGGTAATATTCACTTGATAAATGCTATTTTTGGTTGTCTTCCTAGATACATTAATCTATATATAATTATGTAAAGCAATATAATTTGCAAAAAAAAAGAATTAAAGTATAATCAATATTTTCACGTTTTATTTTCTCCACTTAAAGATGACCATTAAAAGATCACATCAAGATTTCATTCAACAATGCTTCATCAGGATTCAACGCACGGAACAAATTAAAGTTAAAAATACCCTC